TCCTTTCAAACTTGGAGTAGGAATACATGTGTGAAATGATTTTTCCCCTTAGCAGTTGAAGACAGTGCTTGGTTAGTTACCAACTTCTTGAAGACTAATTTATCTTCATTTTTAAACTTACTATATTTAGTGTAACATCATTCTCCTTGGTTCATATAATGATTTGAAGGGTACATTCTTGACCCTCAAACCCACCCCATAATTCTTTTTTTCTGATATTTAAGTGTGGATTTCTACTAAGAAATGCTATGATCTCCTTAATTACTTTGTCACCTTTCTTATTCACTTTTTAGAAGTGCCACATCTGTCCAATTTTAATTTAATGAAAGTAATAAAAAAGAGAATAGTCAACTGACTACAACTAACCAGATCAGTAAAAAGAAGAAAGGTGTAAAGTTCCTAGAATTGTTCTGACAGAGATTTTCCACTAAATGCAGCATCCTCCATTTTAATTCTGGGCTACTGTAAAGCAAATGATATGATTTCAGCTTTGCTGAACATAACTTTAGGATATTAGTAAGTATCATAGGCAAATAAGCACATGTAAATTTTCAGGGATTAGGCATTAAACAAATTACAATGCAACTGTAGCACTCTATCTTATAGTCACTTTTATTGTCATCACCCAAACAACATCCCTAAATTGTATTGTTCTCTCAAGAATCCAACCTTTTAGTTTTTTTAAGACCTAATCTGTCTCATACTGAACTTTAACAACCTAATACAACTTCTAAAGCAAGAACACTACCAAACTAATTTCTCCCCTTGATTTTTACCTACTTTAAAGCTGTAAGTAACAATCCTATTCTCTTCAAGAGGAAAAAAAAACCCAATAACACCACACCCCTGTTTTAAGTCAGTTGATTTGCTGTAGTAGAAGAGAAAAATGATGCATCAACATGTCACGAAACTAATAGTGTTTGAGTTCTTCTGGATACCTCAGACATTATTTTTACAAAGCCTTCTTCCCCTGCCCCAGAGATATTCAGACTATAATCCTTCTTTTCTCCTCTTATACTTAGTTTCTCTCATATATTTATGCACTTTCTCTCTTCACCTAGGGAATCTGTGATAAAATATAACATTGCTAATTCTCACAACATCAATTAGCTGCCAAACACATTTGCAAAAAGAGGAGCTATTTCTCAGTGTCTCCTGAAGACACATTCTGTCTCTGAGCAATGTCAGTTGCACCAGGATGGTCTTAATACATTTCTAGCACAAAATATTGGTGAGTGAGTTAAAAATGTGTAGACCAGACAACTGCTGTGCCACCAGCATAGCAAATTCCTGATCTTTTCTGGGGGTTGGACAAGATTATACATAACTAGTAAGCCTAACTTGAGAATAAAATCATCTTTCTGTAATATCAGTCATAATAGTATAAAATTTCCTAAGTGGCATATTCATGATCAGTGGGGGGGGGGGGGGGGGGACCACTAAAATTGAGGCAGGAACTGAGTCTAATAAGTTCTCCCTTTGTAATTATGCGATTAGGTCAGTATTTTTGAAGTGTATGCATGAGGAGGGGCATGAGGGGAGACACAGATCCACAATTTTTTCTTTACATTAAGACAAAACATCCTAGAAAATGGAATTTCTGGTTAATACCCAAAGACACAATTGTTCCAATGCTACTGGAACAATTATGTTAATGTCATAATTGAGTTAATGTCATAGTTATGTTCATGTCGTAATTGAGAATGCATCATTAATAAAGCCTTGTATGTTTTCAATGTCAAAATTAGACAAAGTTGTAAATACTCATGCTAACAAAAACAGGCTGTTTCCTTTATTTTGTCCTTAGAGTCAGGAAGGTATTTTCCTTTTTAAAACCTAGTTATGCATTGATACTCTAGTAAAATATCTTGAACAAAGAATACAGAGCACCCTTTCATTTAACTTTACTGACTGTTTAGAGAATATAGTTCCCAAATTACACATTCAGGATTTCAATTTTCCTGTGATTTCTTGCGAACAAGATGAGCCATCTTATTTTTACTTTTTAGGGGGACATTCTTTTCTTGAAATCATAGAATTTAAAGATATGCAGAATCAATGTCTGTAAATATTCTGATGGACTTCATGTAAAAAGGCAGTAAAGCCAAAAATATGAGTGGGGAGTCTGCATCCAGTCATGGAAATGTGCTATACTTGGCACTTTTGACATATTTTGCTGAGAGTTTCTAAAAGCAAAAGTTTATCTCAAAACAATGACTGAATTATGGTTGCTGCAAGTTTAGTCATTTAGGGGCAAAAAATCTGATTTTATCAAAAGTAAGCACTTAAAGAAAATAATTTAGTGGACAACAAGCAAATTATTTTTTATTGACATAGAAGCATAGCCATTATGACTCATAAGTATATGACTTTGTTCTTCATTAGGGATAATAAATAATAAATACATTTTAAGTTCTACCTCTTTATGCCTCTTTCACTTATAAGTCAAGGACAAGTAAAAGTATTTCACATATCCACGAAGGCAGGAGGAAAAAAAAATCATGCTCCCAGAGAGTGACAAGGCTAGATTGTTTCTACTTCTGAATGAGGTTTCCTACCCACATGTTTCAGGGGAAAACAACCCATACACATTTACATATCCACACACATGGGAAAAACCTTCAGATCTAAGCGTGATGGCGTGGGATTTCTTAGAAGTAGTTAAAATAGTGTCTTTGAAATAAAAAAAAAAACAACAAAACAGCAACAATAAAACCAAATCAAATGTAGGAACTTCCCCATATAAGAGGATTTTTAGAGTTTTGATTAAGACTTCTGGTATATCAATTCAAGGCACCTCTCAACCAGAGCTGTAAAAACTTACGAGCATCATTACACCAGCACTCTTCTCAAAGACAGAGATGGTTTAAACTTTCTGTTTGAATCTTGACCCATTGTGTACCAGCTGAATGCATACACTCATTTCTCATGCAGAACTCTCAGAGCACTCAGAAGAAATTATAAAAAAGCTTTGCATATTACATTATTTTGCTAAGTTTTATTCCCTCATGAAAAAAGAGAAGCAAACCAGCACCTCATTTGTATTTCAAAACATAGAGCAAGATTGCTGGTGTCATCTGTGACTTTCAGGCAGTAGTATTAACTATCAAGCAGTCAAGTAAAAAATAAACAAGAGTCTCAATGTCTCAATAACGTAACATGGGATGATAAGCACTGGATACCATGGAAAGATTTTCACTGCATTTGAAAAATGAAATTTATATTCCCCAAACTTCCTATATAAATTCCTCTTAACAAAAATCAAAGATCAGGACAGCCCTTCTATTTGCACCTGCAACATCTTTTTTTTTAATACATCAGTTATTATAACTCTTTGCAAATATGCAAGAGTAAAAGAAAACTCCATACCTTTCCCAATATAGAAGAGGAAATTTCACCCTATTCCATTAGCTCATTCAGTGAGCTAGGAAATGGAAAATGTATGTAATTCTCTTCTCTTCAATGCTACATTTTATCACTTCTTTAAGCAACTTCAAAAAACAGCTATTAATAATGGACACTCACATTTCTTCAATCTCCCAGTTTCAACATCGTTCAAGTCGCGACAGAAGTGCTGGGCCCAGACACAAGGGACAGGCACAATACTTACAGCTATTGCTGAAAGCATCATCTCATTTGACTTGTAGTTCAATGAGAAAATTAGTTGAGTCTTTTTAAAACAACAAAGAAATGCAGTACATTAAGAGTTGTAATGGTTTCGATTGCTTAATTTGGTTGCATTACTACTTGAAATAAATTGTCTGCTGAACTCAGTATTCCTTATCACAGAACCCCACACTGTGTGCTCTCAGTTCTATACACTGCTATTTAGAGTCAGTAATCACCATTTGAGAATGAGAACTTGTTTTCTGCAGAAAGTTAATGGCTGATAATTCTAAAGTAAGATGCATGAAGACTAAACAACAGAGCTTAATATTAAGAAATCAGATAAACTAAATCTAGAACACAAATAATCTGGAATAGAAAACATTCATGTGATTTATTAGGTCCAATAAAGGAAATTGGAAATCTCACAGAAAGGGTCTCAAAATGCCCAAAATCATTTCAATGGAAAAACCTACTTAACTTATCTACTATCACAAAAATCACCTAAGATTTGCGAAATAAAATCAAATTTTAGCAGTTTTCTTTCAATCTAAAAGACTCAGGAGAACTAGGCAATACTGGAATCCTCTCCTTAATATAATCAGAAGGCTGAACAGCAGGAGCACACATCACTACAGCTGTTCACCAATGTACAAAGCCTGAAACTAAATCTGTAATTGTTATACTCTTGGACTGCATTTCCATGAAAGAACAGATGAATATTGACTGGATGAAAGAATATTTATTTCAAACGACACCTCAGATTTCTTGTCAGAGAGAAAAATCAGCCCCTTTCCTGAGTGATGCAAGTGGATTTCTCAAGTCCTATGATAGAAAATCATCACATCTGCCTCACTCAGGAATTGCACAGAAACCCTTAATCTCAATAGCTGTGTGCACTTATGGTAAGGTTAGACAAGGAACATTCCTACTGAGAAAATATTTAGATAAGAAGCTGCAGCCCTCTGTAGGCATACCTGCATTTCAAATATGAAAAATAACATTATATACAAACTTCATCTGCAGTTTTATGTTAAGCTTGATACCAGCACATTTTGGAAGACATTTACTTGCACTTCTAAAAGCAAACATCAATAAAAATTATGCTTAAAGTAACAGGAATATATTTTATTTGCCATGCTTTGCATTCATTAGCCAAACATAAGGCTCATTTTGCTGCTTTTCTTAACATGAATGCAGAAGTGGACTTCTAACCAAGATAATTGAAGGACATGACACAAATGAGGTATAATTAAATTTTGCAGATTTTCTTAGAAATGCTTGTGTTGGTCATTCCAACTGAAAGAGTCTACACCAAGCTAGAGGTTTGAACTTGACACAATCAAAAATATCAAAGCATTTGTACAACTTGGGCATATTTAAAAATGACTTACTTTTATTGTAGCAAGTTGCAAGTACACCTTTGTCGGCAGGACTTGTACTAATGTGCCAAATTTCACCCACTTGATGAAGAAGAACATTTTTGTTTATAATGTTATTTTCATCATCAAAATCTATGATGTGAATCTGCAAATACAATAAAATACAACATTAGGGTTTCAAATGTTTTCCTGTGGGTCTTAATTATCCACAATGACTACACGGAACGCTTTAATGAGATTTTTATAACCGATATCTACTTTAATTAATTGTTATAATAACAATTTACTATATCATTGATTTCATGCAGGATTAACTTTTTTAGGAAAACACAAGCAATTTCCCTGTTTGAGGAAATACCATGCTTATTCTCAATTTTCAAGATAAAGCTTGAAGGTGATTTTTCATTTTATGGCTAATAGTAAATAAGCCACATATTGCAATTCAACGCTTCTTATAGCAATAAACAAAAATAACAACATTACAATCCTTAGTCTAAATGTCTGCACCAATTCTGTATCCAAATCATATAATTCAAATCATCTACAAAGAAAGAAGGAGAGAGAAGGAAAGGACTCTTCTTGAAGCAAGTACTTTACACTCAGTAAGAAACTTTGACAGTTCACTTTAGCAGTCACATATCATTACCAAGATACAACTCATCTCATTTCATACTATATGGAAACAAAGTACTAAAAGATGAAGAAAAACAATATTATTTAAATATACAGATAATATTTTTAAAAGACAGAATGAAGTTTGTTTTCATTATTTTAATTTTTGTTTTTGCAGGTTTCTTTGCTATGCTTTTGGGGGTTTTTAACAGGTCTACCATTTTTCCCTCCCTTTTTTTAGTCAGCTGTTCTTCTATAGTTGCTGGAGAAATACAAGGAATTTAGGAAGATTTTAGCCTAGCATAATGTACAGAAGGAACTTTAGTCATGATACTAATTCCCCTAAGCTCAACAGTGGACAAATAAATTTAGAAGACTCACAAATTTTGAAGAACTCATTATCCTCATTAAAAATTAATTTTCAAAGTTGCGTGAACAATGAAGAGGGAAAAAAAAGCCAAGAGTTATCCTATCATCATGACTGAATCAAGTTAACTAAGTTAACTACTGAATCACTGCAAGACTCTCAGCTATGCAGAAATGCAGATGATCTTATTAAAATACAGAAGTTGCAATATAGGTCTCAACTTCATTTTAACACTATTCTTTTTAAGGAGATGAGTTTACACGTTACCTTTTATTTTACTGTTCAAACAGTCATCAGAAACTCCTTCTTCAAATATAATCCTGCACCACATCACCTATATTATTCTTCCATTTTGTCATCCCAGGCATAGAACTACCTCTGCAGTTGATCAGCAAATTGTCTTTTGAGACTTCATTTGCTCCTTTGAACCTAGGAATCTGTTTAAGAATCAGAACACCTTCCATCTACCCTAACAACTGCACATCCATCCTAGAGTGACAAAAAAGATCAGTTTAACCTCATACCTTGCTTTTGTTTGGAGTCTCCTTTGGCAACTCAGGCCAAGTTTCTCACCTGAGAAAGTGAACCATAAATGTAAACCCCATGTCCTGCAGCCGCACACATCTCTTCCCACATTAACCAGGTTGAAAGTCACTCAGCACATAAGGCAGTGCTCTTTACCCCACCTGAAGCCCTTTGAAGGCACAGATAACCCATCTCTGTCTGCTGTTACGTTTCTGATTCAGCTGACAACATGGAGAGGTCTAAAGTGGTGGAACACAAGGAAGATCACAAAAGGCCCAGGCTGAGATTTTTGGGAAATATGAAATTTAATTCTTATGCAGCAGTATTGTTTACATTTTGTGAGTTGAAAAATGACAGCTTTCACAGCAAGGCCAGACAATGAACACTACCTACCACAGTAAGTTGATCAGCAGAACAAAAAGAACTGCAAAAGTTCCTCCAATGTTTTTTTTCGCTAAGAATCTTCCTATTGATTTGAATATATGATATATGGAATACTCACTAAATACTAAGGACAACAGAAACTTCATAGAAAGTATTTTCTCTACAAAAATACTTTATTTCATAAAGTATTTGAATACCTAATGCTGTACACCACCATGTTCACCATTAAACCATGTCCTCAAGTGCCATATTCACACTTTTTTGAGCTCTTCCAGGGATGATGACTCCACCACTTTCCTGGGCAGTCTTTTCCAATGCTTTAAAACCTTTCCATGAAAACATTTTTTCCTAATATGCAGCTTAAACTTCTCCTGGTGTAACTTAAGGCTATTTGGCTATTTTTTCTCACCTGTCCCATCTCCTGCCTGGGAGAAGCGACCAACCCCCACCTGGCACAACCTCCTTTCAGGTAGCTGTAGACAGTGATAAGACACCCCCACCCCTCCCCAGCCTCCTTTTCTCCAGACTGGAGAACCCCAGCTCCCTCAGCTGCTCCTCAGAACAGCTGTGCTCCAGAGCCATCACCACCTCCATCACCCTTCTCTGGACACACTCCAGCACCTCAAAGCCTTCATTGCAGCAAGGAGCCCAGAACACAACACAAGGTTTGAGGTGCTGAGTACAGCAGATGCAATGCACTACATAAATCATGAAAATAAGTGTTTTAAGTTCTAAGATACAAGACTGAAAATAACTTGAAGAGTTCTGACAATGAGATGAGGAAAGAATAAATTACATACTTGGATATTTCCAATGGGTACAATAAACACAAAGTTTAGCAACAATGAAAGTAGTGAGGACAAAAGTTCCAAAAGTACACCATACAGAACACAGTGCTACTCCTTAAACCACTAGCAGCATGTTATGAGGACCAAATGCCAAGTCCTATACACTATTAATATGTCAAACACTAACCTAATGCAAAATCTTATAAAAACTTTCATTTCCTTTGAAATACTAGTATTAATAGGAAAATATTTTCACCTAAAATATATTCTATGAATACCTAAAATTGCTTTATACAGCAATATACCTCAATGAGGCAAAAGTTATCATGCCAGCTGTAAAATTATTGCTCTTTCATTTGCACTATACCTGCCCATGACCAGAAGGGAAGAAATAATCTGCACATGATAAAACCTCTTGCTGTGCAGGACTTAGTAAAGTATTAAGTGTTGCAAGAAAAGCTCATAAGTTTGGTCAGGTAGCCAAAAAAGTTTTTAAGTAAATGTAGAGAACCTAGTGCTGAATTAAGTTATAATGAGCTGAGCCTAGGGCACTTCTTGGGGATTGAGGAACTAGCTGAGAAGAAATGATGGCCTGAGGCACAGCTAAAGGCCAATAACCTCCAAACATTTGTGAATACACTAGAAATTGTCCTCCATTTCTATTGCTAATGTTATTCACTGGAGAAAGAAAAGCATACTCAAAGTTGAAACATATGCAAACATTTCCAAAATACATAGCATATACCAAATAAACTTTTCAAAATCAGAAAATTTAAATCATTAAAGATCTGTTGGCTATCAACTGGTGAGAACCACTCTTCCACATCAATTTTGTATCAGGATTTAATTAGTTGAGCAGGCTGTAAAACCATCACAGAAATAACAGTAAAAAAACCCCACATTATACCAAATATTTGAAGAGCAAGAGACAGCACAATCAAAAATATAACTGTGTGCATTGAACTTTTAATTTTAACTAAGTGTGTCTGCCATTTATTTTCTTACTCCTTGCCCAAGTATTACTTGAAATGGAAATAAACTGAATACTCCATCCCCCTTATCCTTGGAATAACTTTTCTTGAGTCTCATCCAGTCTTATCATTGAGCAATGAATTCAAATTGGGAATTGATAGCTGACATGTCCCAAAGCTGTAGTTCCAAGTGATTTTGTGTAGCCCATTACAGGCCATTTTCAAAGAGCTGCTCACTCCATTCAATGCCAGGCACTGCTGTGGTGGATGCCAGCCTTGGTTAACAGGCTCCCACCCAGACACCTGCTCTCCCCAGGAAAGATGGGGAGAAACCAGGAAGAATAGGGATGAGACAGTTTATGTGCCAAGCTACAGACAGGGAGGCCACTAACTAACTAATTTTCTGGGCAAAACAGACTTGACTTGGGTAAATGAATCAGTTCATTGGCAGTTCAAACAAACAAGTACCTTCTCTCCCCCACTTTCCAGGCTGAACTTCAACCCAGACTCCTCTGATCTTTCAAGTGGGGCAGGGGCATGTGGGGCAGTGGTGGTTATGGGTGTTTTCTCTCTGATGCTCTTTCCATCTCACTCTGTTCCTCTGCTTTCAGCACAGGACATTCATGGGAAACTGACTCACCTGTGTCCTGAAGAAGATTCACTGGAACCAGCCGTGTCTGGCACAGACAACCCCTGGCCTCTTCTCAGAGCCACCCCTGCAGCTCTCCTGCCACACAAGCCTTGCCACCTGCACTCAGTACTGCCTTCTAACCCTTTCAGCCTCAAGAACTTGTTTCAGTATGATTTCTACTGAAATTCAGTCACAAAAATTAAATATGCTCTATAATTACAACTCGAACACTTCACCTCAGAAGAAACAGCCCAATAGAAAATGAGCCATGAAAGTCACTCAAATTTTAATTTGAATTGTTTGAATGATCAGGAAGGACACAGCTGACTTCCAATAATGAATATTGAAAAATCCAGTTTATGCAGCATCATGTACACTGAACTGTGCATGTACCAAGAGTCCCATTAGAAGCAATTAAGGCCTAAAGAATTTTGTTTTACTTTGCATCTCTTCAGGGATTTAAAGATAGTTCCAGAGCATCTATAGATTTAAATTAACAAAATTATGGCAGTTTCTTTACTAAACCAATCTGATTTAATCATACAACTTAGAAGAGGGATATGATATTCAGAAAGTACACACAGCTTTCATTCACCTCCATTTCCTATCAATATCTTTACATTCTACCAACAGAAGTCTTCAACTTGACTATCAATGCTCATACTCAACAGAGGAGAGAAAGGAAGAGGGATGATACCAGAACAATGTTACAAAAAGCAGTAAAAATTACAACTGATATTTGACAGAAAAATTACCTGATTATCATATCTAAGAGATTGTGTTCCAACCAAAAATCTTATTGCATCTGTTTCTGCTGTCTGAGGAGTTAAAGCTCGTGCCTAGGAAAGAAGAAAGCCATTAGAAACGTACAATTAATAAAATCCATTAATTTCAGCAAAAATCTTGAAACTTATATATAAATTGTCATTTTAAGCATTACATTCTTACAAATGGCAGCCTTTCTTGGCCGTTATGCCCATTTTGCTTAATACATTTTTCATGCAATTTCTCATACTTGTGAGAATTGAGGAACACAGGTGCTAAATACATTACCTGATCTTCATTATAACAGAGATAACATCAAATGCAGCATCTCTCCCAAACTAATTTTCCTTTATCATCTGAAAAAATCCCATAGAACAGTGGACAATTTTTAACTATTGTTAAAAAACAATATGATATCCAAGGAAGAAGCTGTTTTTACAATAGTTTTCACACCACTCGGCTTGAATAAGCCAATGTAAAAATTAATTTTTTTCTCACCATTAACCACCATGTTTAGAAGCAAATTAAAAACCAAGCCTCCTCTTTTCTGCTGAAGCCCATTAGAGATAAGAATTGTCTGAATGATGGGAGAAGTAATTTGTTATTTATCTTTAAAACTATTGTCATAATGTTATTTCTTTGTTGTATTATGTTAATGCCATTGCTAGAGTCTCTGCCTTGCTTCTTCAACTTACACCAACCACAGTATTGAAAGAAGCAAAACAAAGCAGTTAAGGGCCATGGGAGACACTGATAAACAAAGCACAGCTTGAACTAAAACCACAATCACTAGTTTGCACTAGCCAGTAGCAGAGACTCTTTGACAATTTTGAGTAAATAGAAGGTAAACTAATACTCAAAGGCATTTTTATCAACTATATATTGTGAGGAATATCTGCTATTTCTCCATGCAAAGATATCCTTAATAATATTGTTCAAGATGAATTTTTTTTTAATCTAAAAATAAATCTCTGCAATTCACATCCTATTTGGCATAAAATAGCTCTGATCTCTCCAGACACTAAGGCAAATATTTCAAGCAAATACTGATGAAGGATTCAGGTAGCTGCTGAATGGCCCTTCTTTCTGCCATCCTCTCGTGCAGCTTGTTACCCTCGGACTCAGAAACACTTCAATATCATTCTATTTGAAACTTATTTTCAAATTGATACTAAAAAGATGCCTAAAGGCTTGGAAGGGAATATCTGCAATATATTAGATCCCAATGCCCAAATTTAGAGCAAATTAATTCTAGAAAAGCAACTTAAAGATATTTGACTTTTCTTAAATAAAGCAAAGCCACGCAAGGCATTGTCCAGCAGCAATAAGGAAAAATTAATTTTTTGGAATAATCTCAGGATTTGTATAGAGCAGATATTTCTTTCTTGGTATCTGAAATGTGTAATTTAAACAGTGTAATATTTTGTGTAAGATGGAGCATAAAAAGTTTAAAAATGCAACAAGCTTATCAGTAACAAGCTATTAGTGCTACACCTACATTTATAATATCTATATAGTGGGGGAAAAAAAAGAAATAGAGAAATAATGAGTAGTTTGTGTTCAAAATACTCATACAGATCAAAGATCTGCAGTGTGAATCCATACCAATCTGCTTTACTTTGTTATTTATGCAGCACTCATCTACAACAAGCCTAGAGTGTTCCTGATTGACAGACACAACTTAAGTCCACCAAGATGATTGCAGAAAAGCTTTTGTCTTTAACAGAATTTACATTTGCAGATCTTTGCAAGCATTTCTTTTCATTTAAAAGACCTGCTTTGAATTATTTTGAGAAAACACTAGAAATGAGCCAACAGCTATGTATCGCCTTCAATCAAAGAAGCTTCTGTTGTTTCTTTACATCAAAGAGAAGTAGAGACCTCCAGAACATTTAAAGAAATAAAGAACTAAAAGAGGTCTCCAGCCCTTTCAAAGCTTTTCAAGCAGGTCTGGTCAAGCTGCTTTCAAAAATGCATACAGATGGAGACAAACTTTATGCCCAAAATAAACTCATGTAAAGCCATAGTAACGTTTATGTCATCAGCTTCTCTAGCTTTTCCTTAAAATAATTTTCCATTTTGCAGAAAGAAAAAAAAAAGGGCACGAGAAAAAAATATTTAGACACATTTTACGAGAAGAAATACCATTGTTTATTCCCTGACCAAAAAACCCCAGCAACATCCATACATAGGATACAAAATTCAAACTCGCCAAGCCTTCATAAATTAGGAAGTCTGATTCATAATGTCAATATCAGAACAATTGACTTTCGCTTGTCTCCTGCACAGATATGTGTAATTTGTCTACTCTGAGTTACTTGGAGAGAAAAAGAAGTTCTTTCAACAGATGAAGACACCAAGTAATCCTTGTAATGAACAATACAACTGAATTCAGAGCACAGTCAAGATCAAGGAAAGTGCCTTAACTTTGTCATCTTGTCAGAGCAGGTTGCAAATAGAACCTTTCATAAAGTATCCTACCTTGACTGCAGCTTATAGATAGAAAATAAGCAAAAAAGTGTAGTAAAATGAATAGTGATTAATCTAAACCAGTGGAAATTATTATTTTTCTAAGTCTGCACCCACAGAACTGCATATAGCCCAAAAAGAGTTTACTACTGAGCTTATGTGGAAAGGGGCTTTTCATGAGGGCACATGGTGACAGGACAAGGCCCTTAAGCTGAAGGAAGGCAGGTTTAGATGGGATATTAAAAAAATTAATTCTTTACTGTGGGAGTGGTAACAGTACCTGAACAGGTTGCCCAGAGAGGTTGTGGACTCCCCATCCCTGCAGCTCAAGACTCAGCTGGTCAGCTGGAGGGAGCTCTGAACAACCTGGTCTAGGGATTGGAACTGGCGGATCTTTAAGGTCTGTTCCAACCCAAACCATTTTAGGATTCTACCCAAGGTATTAGACTATTACTTACTAAAAAAAACTGGCACAAAGCTTAGAAAATAATCAGAATACACATCTGAGAGACACAAGCAACAAGTTAGCAAGTAATCCTTACACATGCTCTCAACATCCCACCTAACAGACAGTGCTAGACAATGCAACAATCTGTGCAATTACATCATTTCATTTTTAAAGAAAGCCTAACTGTAGGAAAAAAAATATTTGCAAGAAAAGTTTAAAACACTGTGAACCACAAAGAACTTTTCGGCTACACGTCCAGATATCATATTTATCAACAGCCCTATGAGGAAATGTGCATAGTTTAAAGCAAGCAGTTTCACAAAACAGGACAACAACTTAACTGCAAATCCACTACAGTAAATGCACATGCACAGGACATTTAGAACACAAGCATGACAGAAAGTAGTGTCAAGATAAAGCAAAACAACAATCATTGTAGCAGAATGCAGGTAAAACTAACTGGAGACTGGGCATGTCTATGCCTACACTATGCTCAGTGTGATGCTGGGCAAAGATCATCTTCTACCTTGCCCTTGACAATTTAGGCCACCTGCAGAAAAATAAAAACCCTGGATAAAAAGAATCTATTGTACTTGACAACAACAAGAGATGATCCCAAAGAACACAATGGCAAACCTCAAAAGGGTGAAGAAGGTTGGTTTAAACTAGGAGCATTATGGAACTGCAATGCACTTATTCTCTACACTTTGTTCATAATTTCTTCTGTAAAATTTTCACTCCTCAACATCTTTTGAAATAGCAGCCAAATGCACAAAGTTGTTTGTTTTTTTGTTTGTTTGTTTTGTTAATTTGACTGTTACTATTTAGGGCATTAATAGACAAAAAAGTACTTGCTCAACACATGTTGTTGTGCTGATGCATTGCACTGGTTTGGTATTAACAAACAAGAAAACAAACACACCCCAACACTTGAATATTTCTATTACATTTAATACAAACAAAAAATATTCTTCAAACCAGGCATCATTTGAAATTCATACAATCAATCTGTACTAACAAATCATGAACTTACAATGCACAATGTAAGGATACAGTATTGCTTTGCAATCCCTAAATCTGAATTTAAAGTTATTTGACCATCTGCTTATGCTGAAAACCAGGACTAGCGTACTGCTATGTGGGGTGAGGAGCTGGATTAGCTGATGCCTCATTCTGGAGGCAGAATACAAGTTCCCTGCTCCCCTAGACAAGCTCCAGGCTGCTAATGTCATGAATGTTATTTTTGCCTTCTGGCACAATTTCAATTTTCAAGAAGTAGACTTTGATTTTTACTTAGGTAAGACAGCCTTGCTTCTCCCACCACAGTAGGAGACTCTCTCAGTGACTCTAATAAGCTGCAGTGACTATCAGTGAAAAGGTTGGCAGCACACATGCCCAGGTGACCTTCAATGCTCTCAGACAGCTGTTTTCCCCAAGTCTTTCACAGCACAAGAATTCCCACCACCAATGTATTTAGTGCATTGACCCTATTCCAAAGATTGACAGATTCTGTAAACCCTCACAGTGAAGAATGCAATCTGCACACAGACCTGCATAGCACAATCATCCTCAGAAAACTCATTCATTTCTCATGAAGGTAACAATCATCCTGTAAAAGTTCCTTCAAGTTCACCTGCCTGTATCTTTATATTGTCATTATTCTGTACCACACCTAACAGTAGGAAGAGCCTACTAATTGCTTAAGGGTCCTAAAAAATACTTTCCAACTGTTTCACTTCATGCATTATGAAGATCTTTGGGGGATTAGTTAAGAGAGCTTTGCCACTTACCTACTTTTGTTCCTCTAATAACACTTTAAACCACAAAGGCTTAAAATATACAGGATTGGCACTCGTGAGGCAAGTAATCTTAGAGAAGAAAGAGAACTGACACAAAAGCTAGGAATTTAGTAAGACATTATTAGGCAGTTTCTTAAACTGATTCAATGTTCAAAGTAAATCTTCCCAAGACTAAAGCTGGACCAAAATTATCAAGTACATTCTGCTTAGGCTGCTCTCTCTGAACCCACAGGAGACCACAAAGCTTCCCCCAGGGAAGAGAAGACCACTGCCCATAGGAGCTATAGGCTCTGCACTCACACAGGAACAGAGCCAAGCCTCAAAGCCAGCACAGCTTTCCCTGGGCAGCTCACAAGCAAAACACATTTTCCAGGGAAGACCCCATTTACCACTTCTAGTAAATCTACACCTGGCTTTTACTCCATCACAGGTAAGTCAGCTAAGCTATTCTCGAAACATACTCATGACAATAGGTGTACACACATTGGTCACAGGTCTTCCATAATCTGTTTCAGTTGATACTTTGCTTGAAGTTTCTTACTCCAAGAAAACACATTTGGCTTTAGGGAAATTAAGTTTCATCTTATTCTTGCAAGCAGGCAAGTCCTAAAAAAATCAAGTGTCTGTTCAGATTCATAAAACCTGTTAACAATTAACAGACAACACAAAATGGGTCAAGTGTCATTTATTCAAGAAGCTCAATGACCACAAGGCAGAACACTAACTCTATCAAAGCATCAGCACACTTTTTTCAAGCCTGCTTCAGCCAGCCCCTATCTCAGGGTGGTGCTGGAGCTGCCCATGGGCAGTATGGCCCTGTGCTCAGCCAGGCAGCTTTCTGTGGTCCTCGCCTCCTGCTCATTGTCCTTTTTCCTCACATCTATGTACTTCTGACGTGCAACATACAGTAGAAGTATCCAGCATGCTGAAATTCAGTTCAGTGTTGTGGTATCCCCAAAACCCATTAAACATGCCAAACACACGCTCCAAAATGATCATTCTCTGGCATAACTCGTGTTCCCCTTCCCTCATCTCATGATGCTGGCTGGCTTCTGCATGCTTTTAAACAAGCAAGATGTAGGCTTGAGCCAAATGCCTACCCCAGAAAGCACCCCTCCCCTACTGCTCATTTCCAGGGCTAGAAATGTTATCCAGTCAACCTTAGAGTAAGGCAAACATGGTATTTTGAGATGTTCAGTGGTGCTTTCACAGCTGCTCAAAATGTCACTGTTTAAACCCTCAAGAAAAACATGGGGGAAATTGTGACTCCCTGGAAATGAAAGCCAGTTCAACACGGGGCAGACATACCATGTATTTCAGATTAGAGAATAAAGCCCAGCTCAACTCTACACGGGACAAGAACAACATAATTTCACTGACAAAATACAGCACTCAGCAATATTCCTGGAACCTCATTCATCACATTCCTATAATTGAGGATATTGATTCTTTCTACCAAGATTCCTTTTAGAAGAACCACCTTGGTATTGAAATGTTCTGCAGCTGCTGCTTTGTATTCATCATCGTGAGCCACAGTCCCATCACTCAGTACCTTAATTGAAGCAGTATCTCACATTTTCATTCACCACCCACTGTAATCTTCTCATTTTCACTGCAGTTGGACAAGCAGAGCAACTATGGTGAGATTGTCTTTTTAAAAGTCACAAAAAGTGTCACTCACACATAATTTGCATGTCTGTATGATATTCATATCACTTACAGACACACCTAAGAGATTAAAAAAGAGAAAAATGTACTTGTTCATTGTTCTAAGTTACCTTGTATATGCCAATACATCAGAACACATTCTATACATGGAAATGAACAAAAGCCATGCAGAAATAATGTTAAGTTAGTTGGTGGATAGCGCCTAGGAAGAATCAGCTTTAAGTTCCTATAAACATGGTCACATTAGATCAGATGAAAAGCTCATTTACACAACTACACTTTCTCCATCAGTGGCCAAAGAAGGACTTCTACTGACTGCTAGAGCCCAAACATGAGATGCAAAGCCAAAATTTTTAAAACTTGGCTGAAAAAAATAGTCTGAACAGACTCTTCCAGACAAAAAGCAGTAATTGTGATGATACAGCTAACCATTATTATCTAGCAACACCGAAGAAATTATGTTTTAAAAAAATAATCATCTTTCTCATTAGACCTGGAGATGGAAGTTGGAAAAACCAGATCAGTTTTAGGCTTAAGTTTTTATATTAGTGTCTCCATTTTCAAAAAGCACAGAGATGCAATTTGTTTTAAAGACACACTGGGAGTTAATGGAGATCAAAAACAGAGCCTTCATCTCTACACTCCCTGACTTACGCATAAATTATCTCTTCTTTCCTCATCCTCTCCCCAAGTGATCTGTATTAACAGCAATTTTCTTTTATTACAGCCACTTTATTCACCCTGTTGCTGTATCCTCCTGCCAGACAACTCCACCAAGTTACATACTTCACAGGAGAGAAGTGTGTAGCAGATATATGGCATGGATAAATGGAGGGGGCAGGATACACAGGTCCATGGAGGTTCCAGACAGCACACACTAGCTTGCCCAAATTCCTGGAAGATGGATTATATGTGACTTACTAGAAATGAACTATGAATATTATTAAGTACAGGATATATATTCTCTTCTGCAAAAGAGATTTAAGTATAAGTTTCATTAATTTTGAAGTCCGAGTTACAGCCACCTCAAGCCAATCAGAAAATACTATCATACAAAACAGCACACTATAAAACTTCATCAGATTTGAGTAGATTCAACATTTAGTGCAGGTAAACATTATGTAGCAGCTCCCACAGAAGAGGAAAAACCAAACAAATCCAAATTTGCTAATGAAATCTATTGGTATGGTCAGGACTACGGAGCACACTACTCAGTATACAGGACATTTGTTACAAAGAACCTTTGTACATTACTTTACACAAACACTTTAGCAAAGGTGCCAAAAGCCAAAAAAATCTGCACATGAAGATATTTCTATTACTACATCTACAGCAGAATGAATTGCTTTGTTAGGAGATGCTGGTTTTCTTCTGCAGGCATTACTGCTATAATGGCTAGTGATGGTGAGCCAGCCGCAACACATCACAGCTGAGTAAAGCCCTTAGGCGGAGAAGGAATGAATTAGGGTCCCTCTCACTCTGCTTTCCCAGAACTTACAGAAACCTCATTAAACACAACACCTGTGCTCCTCTAAGAAGAGGATCACTAAGTTTCTGAGTTGGACAGTTCCATTTCTTTACAGCCATAAAATACTGATGTGATGGACAGATTTGTCGCATGGGACAAATGCACATACAGAGACTTTACAGGGAGATCCCACAAAGTTCACGCAGATTTATGGCAGGGTACAACCAACTAAAATTCCTAACTTACTGGAAACAGTTTCATGCTCTCTCCTCAGAAAAGCAATTTTTAATTTTTTTTCTGACAAGGCAGAATCAATGATTTCTTTGGCAGTACTTTGGTACCACTGCAGCGCCAGACAAAGCCTTTTCCAGCGCGGAGCCGGGAGCGGTGCCCGGGCAGGAGCCCCCCGGGCACCGCGGGCAGAAGAAGCCTGCCGGGCCCTGCTCCCGCCCTGCAAACAGCGCGATTGGGGTAGAGAACGACTCCCTGCCACTGGCCAGGCACCCACCCTTAAACGTCCGAGCGCGGCTGCCAAAAGCCACCACAACCCGGCGGTGCCCGCGGTGCCCCGGTGCCCCGGTCCAGGCTTGGGGAGGAGGGAGGACGCCAGTCTCCCCCGGGCGGGCTCTCCTCTGCCTCACTACACACACCGGACCCCGCGGCCAGCGCCTTTTCGAAGGCAGGACCGGCACCTGCCGACCTTCCCTTGGCCTCCACTCTCGCTCACCTGGAACTCCAGCCCGTAAATCACCGGCGCGTCGTCCTCCATCGCGACCCCCTCAACCCAACCAGGCAGCTACCGTCGCGTCCGATGCTTTCTGACCCTCGGCGGAGCCCGTCGCTGGCCGCTTCCGGGAGCTGCGCGCGCGCAGCCCCGCCCGGCCCGGCCCGAGCGCAGGCGCAGTGCGGGGGGAGCGGCGCCGGGCGCAGCGGCGGCGCGGAGGTGACGGGACGGGACGGGACGGGACGGGAGAGAACGGAGCGGGATGGGAAAGGAAAGACGGGAGCGGAGCGGGACGGGAAAGGAGAGACGGGAACGGAGCGGAGGGGTCGCGCGGCCTGAGGGTCGTTGGGGTGGGCGGGTGCTCACTGGAGCTGTGCCCGGAGGAGGCCGTGGGGGAGGCCGGGCCCACCTCCGCGGGGTGTCCGGGCCGGGGCTGCGGGGCTCGCAAGCGGCGCTGCCCGTGCCGAGCGCTGCCCCCGCTGAGCCCGGCCGCGCTCGGCAGCTGCACTGCTGACAGCCGGGAGCCAGCGCTGCGCTTTGCTGAAACCGGAGCTAGCGCGTCCTTGCGACCCGGAAAGCAAATGTTAAATGTTGAGTCGCTAGAACGGGTCGCTGTCCGGGGATGTTGGGGAGGTCCCAAACCTGGAGGAGTGTAAGGGCAGGTTGGATGGGGCTCTGAGCAGCCTGGTCCAGTGGAAGGTGTCCCTGCACGTGGTGGGGGTTTGGAATCAGATGATCTTGTAAGGTCTCCTTCCGAACCAAACCATTCTCTGATACCGTTCTATGATACTGTTTCATGTGTGTTTAGTGGGAGGCGTTTGGTTTTCAATCTCAATAGTTTTACGATGTGTAGAAAAGATAAAGAGAAAATATTTTCAGAATTGATTCTGTGATTAGACATTAAATGAAAAATGTCAAAGGGAAGATGTGAAATAGTGAAATCACTATTTTTTAAAGGAAGAATTTTACTATGGTATATTTACTGAAATACTATGGTATTTTACTTTTGTATGGTACTTAGGAGTTTTGCTATGACACCTGAGCAGTATACAAAAAATAAAACTAATTCTTGTTTTGGTGGGGGCTTCTCCTTTTTCAGTTACTATGGAGAGTAATGAAAGCAATGCTAAGGATGCAAAGAGCGCCTCAGCTGAAGATGACAGCAGAGACATAGTTCAGCAGAAAACTCAGGAAGAAATTCTCTTTCATGAGGAAACCATTGACCTTGGTGGAGATGAATTTGAGTCTGAAGGGAATGAAACTGTATCAGAGGACTCAAATAATTTTGTAGATAAACTTAATGAGCAAATGATGGAGAGTGTCATTATTTCAGATTCCCCAAACAATAGTGAAGATGACACAGGTGAACTTGGTTGTCTTCAGGAGATAGTCGACCAAATGGAAGCTAAAGATAATCAAAAAACACAGACAGAAGTGGATAAAGAAGAATTTTTAAGTAATGAGAGTGAAACAGAACATGAAGAAACTCCTAAAGACATTTCTGAGATTGGAACAGATGATCAGGCATCTTTAAAGGAAGACTCAATTCAGGAAGCAGTGAAGGAGGAACCAAAGCTGGGAAACAATGTTCCTGTTGAATCAAAACCAAATAACGTTGATGAGGGCACACCTGAGGACCAGATGTTGTCACCCAGTACTGCCAAACCATCATCTGAGGCTGAGCCCATTCCTGTGTGCACCATCTTCAGCCAAGCAAACAATGCTAGCTCCCAGCCACAGTTGTTCCTGCCTGATGGTTTTGAGCCTCAGATGGTGAAATCTCCCAGTTTTAGTAGTATAATAGAGACTCCAGTGAAGTATAATCCACAGGTGGTTCAACCAAGTCCCAGTCTAAGCAAGTTCTTTGGTGACACTGTTAACACTAATACTTTAGCTTCTGATTTTTTTGATTCATTCACGACATCCAATTTTATTTCTGTTAGTAATCCCAATGCAAGCTCTTCAGTTCCAGAGCAAATGTCCTCTCTTTCTAATGGCGGAGATGGTTCTTCATCCAACCCTGCTTTCCCTGTGCAAAATGGGAGACCTGAAGCAGGTCCCCCATCATCTCTGGAAATAAGTCAATCCCCCAAGCCATTCTCACAAATTCAAGCTGTGTTTGCTGGGAGTGATGACCCGTTTGCCACAGCCTTAAATATGAGCGAACTAGATAGAAGAAATGATGCTTGGATTCCCAGTGAGGAGACAAGAAATGTTCTCATTTCAGTTGCCACACAACAGTACAGCACTGTGTTCATAGACAAGGAGAATCTCACCATGCCTGGGTTGAAATTCGATAATATCCAGGTAAGAGTCTATTACTGTATCCTCCTCTGAGATTATCTTTTAGAAATACTGTAGATCTGTCCAATAATCTGTACATCATAGTACTTCATATTGTTGCTGATGGTCACTTTGTGTGTATTACTTCAACCCTAATTAGAAAATGCAGTGTCACTGCTGCCTTGTAGGAGGAGGCTAAGACCAGATCTCATTTATTCACAGTGACATTTGTTTGCTGCATTGAAAACCAGTGTTGACAGCTTCCATAGAAGCCAAAGCTGTTTGTATTTTTAAGTACTTGATTTCTGATCCTCTGAGTTAGTAAGATAATAGTCACATTTGGAATATATACACACCCTCTAAGCTGTGCTACAGAGTCTAAGCAGACAGCTTTGTTTGTGGAATTCCCTGTTGTGATTGAGTGGGAAATTATTTTACTCATGTTCACAGAGGTCTCAATAATTTTAACATTGGCTGAAATGGCATCATTTCTATCTTCCTCAAGTGATGGAAAGGTACAACCTCTAAGAAAGATTGAGTGCTGCAGCAAGCTGCTGTCAAGGGATAACCCCAAAATTAAGAGACTAGAAGAGATCACAAAGCAAACAACATAGTAGTGAAAAGTAATTTTCTGTCATCTATCAATTTCTTAACAGGTGAGAAGGCATAAAGCATTTTTTTCAGAATTTGGGAAATTTTACTCACATGTATTTAAGATTTCTCATGAAGTAGTTATCCTGGCTGCTCAGCCAAGCTTACTATCATGATGTTTTGGTGTTTTTCTTGAAACAGGTTAATCCTACTCTCTGGTATCTAGAGGATAATAGAATTGTTGTGTAGATAGATGGTGTTGAGAGTTTGGATGCTTTAATCCTTAATTATGCATAACAAAGACCATCAGTCAATAGTCAAATACAAGTGGAGAGCACTCTGCAGTAACTTCCCAATCTGCAGAAGCTATCAGAAGAGTTTCTGGAGTGAATCAGGTCCAGACTTATAATTAATTATCTGAAAAATCTCGGGTTTCTGTCACAAGCAATAAGTACCAAGCCACACTGCTGCTGCTTCTTGGGTTTGCTTTATCTTAAAACATTAGTTTGTTAGCACAGAGCCAAATAATTAGCGTGAAAGAAAACATTGTAACAAGAAGCTATTCCTCCTCCACTTGTACTCAAAATATCCCTTAGACCTTGATGAGTTATTCCAGTGTGTACTCTTTCTCTCCTGACAGCTAGTCAGTTAGACAGATGGAGTGATCCCTTCTGCAGTCTCCAAGGATGATGGTCTCCTTTTTGCAAGCTTCCTTTTTTACAATGGTTCTCTTTCACCTTCCTCAGCGCAGTCAGGGATTAAAGGCTTGTTTCTGCTGATCAGTCTCTAAATCTGGGCACGTGCAAATATGCAGATCTACCATTTAGTACATAATTGAAGGGAAGATGTTTGACAATGTCCATGCAATGTATTTCTACAAAAGACCTGATGTAAAATCATCAATGGAATTAAAGGAAATCCTAATGCTTTCTTCATTGTCTATAATTTATAAGAATTTCATAGACATGTCCACGGGGAAAAATTCTGAAGTGCTTTATGTTTAGAAAACTTTCCTCACTTTCAGTTACTGCTTTTCAGTGGCCTGAGTGCGTGCCTTGACTAATTTGACATCCCCTGGTTTGGTATCATTGTTCCATAGTATTGCAAATTGTGTATTTAACTTTGTAATTGTAGAGTGCTTGAAATGTCAACTGGAACATTGTGGGAGGTATATTTTCAATGTTAAAGTAGCTTCCAACAAGGGTCATTAGAGGTTTGGTATGAATAGTTTGCTAATGCTGAATGTTAATGCAAGATGTTAAACCAAGCTACATGCAGCGGACAGGTAAGTTGGTTGAAAATGCATTTGCAGTGAGTGCACTCTAAGTGTGCTTCAGGGAAGGACTGAAATTTCACATTATATGTATTGACAAGCTTGGGACTTTATTTTTTGCCCTGCTTTCTCAGGAAGTATATCGTAAGACAAGTCTTATGTCAAAAAATCACACCGAGAAAAATATTAAATGACTTTTATTTCAGCTGCATGCTACTTTTTGACAATCATTTAAAAAACGTTGTGTTTTAAACTTATCTTGGGTTGTGGTAAAGATGGTAAAGGTTATCTGTAGCTGTGTTCTCCAAGTGTCAGAATAAATCTGAGTGCTGCTTTTTATGCTCTTTCCATTATGCCTTTTTTTCATGAGTTGCTCTCTTCTGTCATTGTCCTTTGTTTCATTACATTCATTTTTACTATTTCCTAACCAAAGGACTGTTGGATCCCAAGTACTGTTGGGGGGATTTAAAGAATCTTCTGTGTTTATGTAATTTTGCACATGCTGTCTTTTCTTAATTCTTTGGACTCTTCTGTCAGGCAGATCTGTTGTTTATTCATAGGGTAAGTGACATCATTAGAGGTAAAAAATTTCCATGTAGTGAAACAGTAGTTCTCATTCCTTAAGAAGCTAGACAGAAAATACAAATATATTTCCCAGCACTGACCATGGAGAAAGTTGAAACACTTAATGTCAACTGTGTTTGTCATTGCTAAGCTCTGCTGTTATTATATGCGGTTCACTCTCTTTATAGGCAAACAGCTATTGAGCTCAGATAGCCCAGTTTCTCTGACTGATGCCTGCAGCTAGTTCTTTTGAAATTTATAACACTTGTTGAAGGGTTGCTGTTTACTTTGGCTTATGAGCTCTCAAAGTTTATTTTCTGTGGATATTTAAGGCTAACTTACTGTGTGCATGTTTATTTTTGATCAATAGA